GCAACGGATGTTATGAAGGACGGGAATCTGCGCCGCAAAAGGTGTAAGGCGGAGCATGGAGGAACTAGCGTGTTTCACGGTCCTGTATCTCCATTCCTGGGCATGTTTGGGCGGGGGGACCACGACACATCGACAGCTGGGGGCTGATAGTCTCATACACCCTCAATGTGTTTAGCGTACCATGTGTCTTTAAAGAACATGTAAGAGTTACCAGCCAGTGAGTACTTCATCACTATAAAATCTGAGAGCTAATCGTAAGCGCTGATGAAAGATGACAATGTGGTGAGGTTTCCTTTGAATGTTAACAATGGCTTCATAACTAATGTCCATACCTCGGTCTTTGGGGGAGGGAGAGTGTCTATGGAATTAATACTGGCGCAGCGGCGACGGACAGTTGCCAGTTCGGGCAGGGATGCAGAGCCAGTTCGGGCAGGGATGCAGACAACAAGAGAGCGCGGACGGCAAAGTAAGCACACATTTCTCTGCAGTATGCGCTCAACAGGGACCTCTCTAAGGCAGCGTTCATACTTCGCGACAGCAGCGGCGATCTCGGCGATCGCCGCGATCGTCGGTACGTGGTAGAAAAAAAAGCAGAGATTAGTGAAAAAACATGCAAGTGAAACCCTTCATATAACCATCAAAAGTAATACTACGATTGATAACATTTCGATCTCAGATCTTAGGAAGCGCTATTCAAATTAGAAGGAATGCAGGTCTGAGATGTGAAAAGATGTTGCAACTCCTGGATTCCAGCTGCCGCTGCTATTACGGTAATGGCATTCGGATGACACCAACACCTGCTCCAGTTCGTCTAGAAGCATAACAGTAAGGGGAACATTATCAACCTATGCTGGAAAGTCAAAATTGAAGGTGAAGAGAATGTGAAAATAAAAAGATCCCTTGTGATAACAACTCACTTTTCATTCAGGTAACTGTGAATAGCCCACTTATTTGTCTTAGGATCGAAAACTTCAACGGAATCCTGGTCAGAAGTGCCATGTCCACCCACAGCATAAAGTTTTTCATTGGCAACGACAAGTTTCACCTACAAATAAATCTTGTTGATTTTGCTTACATCTGTAGAAACAAAGTGATTCATAGGAAATACTGTGCGCAGACTCACTTCTGCTCGCTTCTCCTTCATTGCAGCCACTTCGGTCCATTCATCAGTAAGAGGGTTGTATTTCTCAACTGAGCTAAGGTCATTGGATGACTCATCTCTTCCACCTGCTGCATACAAGTGCCCATCGAGCACTGCAGATCCTAGATATTTCGACATGTTGACATCGGACGAACAAACTCCCATCTTCCGTAGTGGTCAGAATCTGTAAGTTGGATGATTTATCAGGTAAGTCATCCACCACACATATGATGTATGCAGTCTTTTTTGATCTAGGTATGACAAGATAAAAGCAGGATTCATGGTCGCACTCGCCAGGCCAACAAAGCCTTTCACCCATCCGAGACGAGTAAATATCGGACCAGATTTTCTCTGGGAGGAAAAACACTGACTTGTAATCGCGACTGGTCCCACCGCAAGTACGTACAGGCTCCATGCATTCAATAGCACTAGATTTCTGAATGGAAGTGGATGGTGCCTGCCATCCAAAAGGATTGTTCGAGATTTGATCTCTTTAATCTCTTTGAGCGGAATTTGGTCAGTTAAAACTATGATTCTATTGCGGAAATTGAAAGAAAAAAAATCAAAGTGCCAATTGAGCCAAAATTTACTATTCCACAAGTGTTTCAGACTGGACTTTCCATCGTATCCCCATGGCAGTTACAAATATCGTTAAGCGACGCGACATCAGAATGGGGCGAATCGTTGGTGTTGCCAATGGGATTGCAACACGAACCCACTCTTTTTGTTGAGGATCATATCTGCAGTGAAGCTTCGTAACAGGTTCTTTATCGGAACAAGTTTGTTCCAATGAAAAGCTATTCCGATCTACGACATATTACCAATACAATATATTAATACATATATATACCTGCCATCCATAGATGTTCCTCTGGTAATTAACTTCATGTGTTTTGCCAGTTCACCAGCAAAGGGTATGCCTTGCTATTCAGAAAGCGCTGGTTTCGTGCAGAGAAGAGCATGCCTATTTTGAAGGGCTTTTTAGAAACCGTTTTTTAACACAGAAGATGATCACTGCGGATTGAGGTGACAGTTGGTAAGAGCCAAGTCAGGGTCACACGAAGACTGTGGTGTACTTTCCCAGCTAAAGACTCAAGGAATGTGAAGCAGTGTTTTTCCAAAAGGGAGTGGACCTGAGCACGTGGTGGAACAATTGCTAGAGGTGATGTGGACATAGGGTAGAATTTTATCTCCTTTCGCTAGTTAATATTAATGTGGGCTTGCTGGCTACCACGCCGTTGACAGGGAGAATAATATCACGCGGTTTAAAACACCGCGTATACAGTTCCGCTTAGAGGGCAATGGACTGAGGCCGGTTCAATGTCACTTACTAATGAGAATCTAGAAGCGCTTCAGGAAGAATCTTGGAGACACCTCTCATTATCCAGTTACATGTTGTATTAAACCAGTTCCGCTATGGCACGATTCGCGATGAGAAAATTCCAAACAGTACTCATCTGGGCTCCTTCTTGAGTATCGCTCAATACACGAGAAAACTTCAAATAATTTTCAACAATTCCCTAAGGTAGTGGATTTCTGTCATTCGCGCTCTCGGAACAGTCGAGGGTGAGGATAGATGGCGAGCTACTTCGTACAGACTGGTTTTGATCAAGGGCCGACAAAGTTACGGGTCTAAATCAAGGCAAATGCTTCTTTGGACAGTTTGCTCTCCGCAGATTTTAGAAGATCACAAAGTTCAGTCGAGCATTCTAAGCCAGTTGCTATGGAAGGTAAGATATTCAGGAAAGACTCAGAGCAAATGCTGCGTGTGGCTCCAACCACACCGTGTTGGTGAGATTCATTTGGCGAAGTGTGACCAAAATGAGGAAAATCTCCCACCGTTTTGGTGAAGGGAACAGCGGCTGCGAGGGACAATAAGGCAACTGCGGGCACACTATTAACAGACCACATAAATATATCGCAAAATAGCTGCGGACAGATCTGATCAAACATTCAAAGAAATGTCACGGGGAATTAAGGACAACGTAATATGAACCAACGCAATCAAAAGCAGCCCGAATATTTCTTCACCGTTCCACAGTGTCCAGAGCCTTGCCGCTGTCGTCAAGACCGCCTGATGCATAAAGAAAGCCGTTCAGCACAGTCACACCAACACTGCTACGACATGTGCGCATTGGCACGATGTCACTCGACCATTCATTAGCAACGGGATCAAATCTAAAATTTCCTTTTAAGATACGTCGAGATTTTCTATGTTTATCTCTAAAGAGAACCCATCACCATAACAAAGCCATCCCGAGTATCAGACTGGGAGAAACCTCAAAGTACTTTCCAAATTCAACAATTCTTTTTATGCTTTTCTGTTTATTCCTCACAGATGACAGTGGCAAAAATTAATGTCACTTGAAAGCGCACTATTCCAACCCTTATGATGCATTAGTCCGCTTTTTAGCAACGAAGGCCTTAATTCCTGAAAACGTTTGCCTGGCAGCCTAATGCTCAGTTTCTTAATGAACAGATGGTGCCTTCAGTGAAAGAAACGCTCAAGAGGCTTCGATGGACCACTTAGCTGAAGTGATTCAGGCATGCCATCACTGGAGGGGGGTTCCCATGCCTCCAGCCAGCGCAGGGTCGCTGCTAGCGTGCCGCTAGCGTGCCGCTGGTGACGCTGGTGAAGCTAGATCGATATGCATCCTCTCTTCGGCACTGCCGCTGGCGTACGCTGGAAGCGCTACGCTACGCTGCGCTACGCTACGCTGCCGCAAAGTATAAACGCAGCCTAAGAGCGCCTTGATACGGATATTGCACTTATTTTTCGACAGCAGCGCTATTAAACGCTCTGCTAGGGCTGAACTTAGGAGGAGTGGTTCCCATCATGAGAGTAGCCTTAGCAGAGCGCAAATGATCTGACCATGGTGTCCCCCCCCCCTCCAATTAACGCCGGTGCCAGAGAAGTAAAGTCAGCACGATTGTCAGGATGTCAAATAAACCCCATAAGGGTTTTCATCGATTTTGATGATTTAGGCGCCTGCGCGGGCGCCAGGCGGTTTCGCGCCATACCCTTGTTCAGGTGCGTTAGTTACCGTGACAAGTTTTCATCAATTTTGGTGATTTAGGGTGTTTTGTCGCCGGCGCCTTGGCGCGGGTGCCAGGCGGTTCCGGGGCAAGCGGATGTGATATTCATGTTTAGGAGTCACTGGGATAGGAATAGTAGAATATTGCTGAGCGCGCTTGTAACTGTTGAGAAGCGCCCAAACGGGCTTACACGCAGCAATGCGCGTAGCTGCGCTTGAAAGCGCGTTGGATCTGAACGCTGCTTGACGTGCCAGACCTTACACGCAATATTCTTCAGAAATCTGCCCCGACATCCAGTTTGATCATTCAGGTCACATAATTCGGAATAGCGTTTTCCAGCACACTTTAACTGAGCAGATAAGATTTTTATATGCATTGAAAAAACTCTGACAGAACTATTCGCAAGGGCGCGGCTAGAGCTTGTTCCAGGTCTTGTTCCAAATTTTTCTTTAGCTGCTCTACCTCAAGAAAAGCTATTCAAAGGTAGAGATAACACGAAAGACCATCCTCAGAGCTCGGGAAACGCACAGACGATATGGTTGCTCTAGGGCGATATCTCACATAGTCGCCAAGTACGTGACTTCCTCTTACAGTATTTCCTGAGATCAAAGGTGAGAGCAGTCGTAAAGGCAGTTTGCACTACAAACCTGACTGTACCCATACCAAGCATTTCCACTGGCTCTACCATGTAAAAAATGATCATTTCTGCGAACAACAATCAAGCTGGTCAAATAGTCACTGCTAAGAAATAATTTTTGCAAGTATTCATAGTTCTGTCACGCAGTGAATACCGAACCGTAATATTACACAATTTTGTCTCTAGTTATTCGTAAAAAAGGTTAGAATTCGCTTGATACCTTTCAACACTATTCACACGCTTTCCTTCATTAAAGCCGCCAACAACGTAAAGCAAATCGTCGAGAGTAGCAACGCCGGCATATCCTCTATAAAAGGAAGTTGTTATTGGAAAGCACACTCACTATTTTATGACCTACCTTGTAATGCTCATGGAGGGGATTCGACGCCACACTGGAAATTTCTCCCCAGGATCGAAGTATTCTCCGGAAGCGTGGCCGTATCCTCCCACTGAAAAGTAACTCAGCAGGAAAAGACAATGCATCTCAATTTCTGTAGTGCTGAGGAACCACAGGATACAAATGATGCACACCAAAAACAGACTGCTAGTGATAAGGTATTTACCATTTCTCAACACTCCATACAGGTATCTCTAGTTCAGCCCTGGTCTTTTCATTTTGAAAGTAATCTTTCTTTACCATTTCCACATAGAATCAGCGCTTGCCCGCTCTATGGTGGAGGTCTGCTGTTCTTATTTTGTGACGCCACTTCTCCCGACTGGATGCCTAATGGATGCCAACTACTTTCAAGTACGAATGCAACGTGTACATCCGGTGCTGCTTGGATCGTCACCTGGGCCACTTTTCGAGCACCTCGAGCTTGAGATTTGTCCTACGGACGGTGTCAGAATTCTCGCGCAATACATGACCATACCACCGGAGGCAAGCTTCCAACTTCACATGCGCATTTTTTTTGACCACGGGAGCTACAACGAGTCCCTTGCGTATGTCGTCCATCGCTAGCGCGATTCATGCACATGATGCCTGCCGTCCAGCGCAACATTTTCATAAAAGCCGGTTTCAACTTATTTAGACGTGGCCCATAATTCAGCACCGTATGTTGCGACATGAACGACGGTTCTACAGACTTTGACTTCAAGCGCTCTGGTATCGTTTTGACACAGAGAACGCCAGTCTGACAAGAGAAGGATACCAACTCGTCATGGCCATTCAGTATAAAAGCATATTTGGACGCTTTTATCAGGTCTGACTTCCAATTCTGCTAAACGATTCTAGGAGAGAAGTTAGGCTGCGTTTATACTTTGCGGCAGCGTAGCGTAGCGCTTCCAGCGTACGTCGGGGGAAGGATAGATATCGATCTAGCGTTCCCAGCGTCACCAGCGTACGCTAGCGCTTGCAGCGACGGGGCTAGAGAGGGGCTAGAGAGTATAGAAGAGCAGGAGAGTATTTGTACTCTCCTACTCTTTAATACTCTCTAGCCCCTCTCTAGCCCGTCGCTGCAACAGGGCACATCATTGGTTGGGGATTTTGGTCAAGTCCGTGCGACCCTCCCCCGCCTTTTTAAGGTTGGTACGGACCCCCCCCTTCCGGCCCTCCGGCCCTCTGTCCCTCCTCATCAAATCGAGTCGTCGAGCGGGAGGGGAGGAGGAGTGGGTGGGGGTAGCACGTGTGAAACAGGAAAATCACGAAAAGTCAACCACCACTCCCAACCACTCCTAAAGGGCCAAAAAGTAAATACGACCCCCCCCAACAATGAGCAAGTACGACCCCACCCTGTTACAACGTCCGTAAAGCGAGAAAAATCAACTATCAAAGTAAATTTTCCTCAGCCCAAATACGACCCCCCTGTTGGGGTATTCCCCGAAAAATGATGTGCTGTCCCTTGTGCGAAACATTAAGCCCGCACATAAGATATTTTGATACAGAAGAATGCGTGCCGCATTCTACAAAAGGGGTTGATCAGTGGCGAAACCTCATCCCTTATCCTCTATATGTGCCATCCCACAATCGCAATGTTGAAGCAGGGAAAAAACCTGCTAGCTTTCGTCATACCAACGTATAATACTTCACGAAATTTGGGTGAATCCTTCTGATGGGTGCTTAGTAACTGCTTGCTGAGTCGTTCGGGTGTAGATAGTTGTAATGAGTAGGAGCTCTGAAAAAGGGAAAATTGAGAAATAAGGTATTAAGACAGACGGCAGATCTTAGTTCACCGCTTGCTGTGTTGTCAAGGATTTCACCTACAGTATCAGAAATCAAAACAGCTATCCCGACGAGGTACCCAGGGTTTTACCTCTGATAGAAATTGTTTTCGAGCTGACAGGTCGGACCTGATCCACCGAAGCACTGCATTAACAATCTAAAAGAGTTTGTAGCGGTCAATCAAGAATAGAATGAGCATAAAGTGGTTACAAAGCAACATTACGATATCATACAAAACTGGTCCATATACCTGCGCCATTAATCGTTCACTTAGCTCTTCATTTAAAATCAGTTCAACTAGTTGGTTAACGAGAATTTCATGAGCTTTTTCCGTATTCACAGCATTCTTGAAAAAGAAAGAGATTTTTTAGTTAAGGTCACTAACAATAAAGTAATAACTTCGAAGTTATGCAAGACATTCTCGTCGGCTTCAGGACACGAAATACTGTCGGTTACCGGTCGTACTACCAAGGGACTGGACGGCTCCAACTTTTTTTTCAGGAATTCACGACACAACTCCTACAACAGAGATGAAGGATCACAACTTTATAGTACCCTTTCTCGTGAAAATACCACAACCTCAACCTGGTCCAATTGAAACAAACGAGCAGTGGATAGAATGTTCAATACATTGGCGTTACTAATATTTATCTCTCCAGAGTAGCAGAACTTCACAAGGGCGTCAACAACAGATGCTTCCATATTACCCAAATACACTTCTTCTGAGAAAAAACAAGAGTCAATAAGAGGAATATTGGGCACAAAGTATTGTGTTGCATTTAATTGGCGCAGTGTATGTACCTACTGTTTGGAGAAGATTGACCGGAAGAACATGTAAATTATAATTATTGAACATACGCAAGCGGTTTTCAGTCATGTCCCTGGTAAACAAGGTTTTGAAATAATTTCGAAGATGCAGGCCAAGTACGCCAAACTCGATGGGCGCTGATTTCGTTCTCCCTGAAATGATGTTTTCAAGCCGAGGTATGTCACTTCTCAATATCTCAAAAAGACGCACCTTAACGGCGAGGAACAACACGGTCACACAGTTTTGAGAATCGCTTTCGAAGTTCTGCAAGTCGAGTGAACAAGAGGCGTTTGTGAATAGAGCTCTAAACTGTGTGTGAATATTGAACAAAAAAAAACATATAAGGCTTCAACACTGACAGATTTGTACGGCCGCCATATTGCGGTGTTGAGTTTTCAAACAAGTATCTCCATTGAATATGTTGGTGTTGTCGATGGCTTTCCTAACCTCGGATGTGCGCCATAAATATTTTATGAGGTACCTTTCTCCATGGGTATGAGGTATGACCGTGACCGTCAGTGTGACCACAGCAACAGCTTTTTCAGATGCCGGCAGCTTCTCTCTTGTTGGGCCCTCGGACTAGAGTTTTCGTGAAGCTCCTTAACAGTCTTGGGCCTTACGAGGTTCTTGGATTCTGAAAGCCACAGCAGAAGATGCAGTGGATCGGAACAAGTGGCGACGTCTAACAAGAACAGCGGACCCTGCGACGGCGCGGGACTAACGCTAGGGAGAAGAAGAAGAAGAACTCACTAATCCTCCCGTCGAATATTTCGGTGCCTAGCACCTTCTTCAGCGATCTGAAATACTACAGTTAGTCGACACACGAATCCGACCGCACAAGCGCCGATTCACTGCGACTAGCTGCTGAGCTAGGTCACATCAAGTCAAACGCAAAGGCGTCCCTTTCGCCTACAGCAGCGGAGGCACGTATTGGAGGCAGCAGACCAGGTCGGAGTCCGGATGGGGGACACCAGTGGAGGCAGGGTCCAGGCATCATGGGGTAGCGGCCTAACTGTAGTATTCAGATCGCTTGAAGAAATCACCGAAACAATCGAAGGAAGGATTGCCAAAAAAGTTTACAATTTTTGCCTAGAAAATGTTTTAGATTTTTGCGATTTTTTTGTGATATATTTGGCCAACTGAAATTTTTGTTGCCTCTTTATTGTGTTTTTATTCGCATTTGCAATAAGGTTCCGAGACAGCACAACATTAAGACTAAAAGTCAATAGAATTGAACGAGTACCGCTTCTCATGTGCGCAAGTCTGTTCTTTGATATGACTATCTACGACCCTTGCTGTCTCCGCAGTCACAAACCTGACACTGGGTTTCATTTATTACCCCCAATTGCGTCCAGTCACCAATTTTTCTTTGTGAGCGCAATTTCTGGCGTTTGGCGACAGTGGAGGCATTAATACTTTCGCTGCTTCACAAGTTCCGGTTTACAAGATCACTTCAGTGAATCCTGTGAACTCTTGCGAAGCTGGAGCAAGCTCGTCGAAACATTATGGCAAAACATGTCAACTCAAAAAAGGCACTCTAGATTCGTGGACATGTCGATGGGAAATAGCAAGAAAGCGAACATACTATTCAAAGCAGACTCACTTTAAATCACCCAAATAATACACTTTTAGGATAGTTTGCCGTATTATACGGGCTTATACATCAGAAAATAGAGTAGTTGCAATCTAGCGAATCTCCGATAAGCGTAACCCGGCTATGGGGAAGGGAGGGGGGTAAGCGTGCCCACTTATTTCTTTGCTCGTGGCGTGAAAAGCCTTTTTCCTAAAGTAGATGCATGCGACATAACTGGCCACCTGTGTTGCGCTGGACAGAGACATCATAACAACTCCCCGATATTCCTCCAAAAACGCAACGACTCTCTTACTCAAATGAAGCAGGCAACCTGGCCCTTTCCTATGGGGTGTCCAGCTCCAAATTGTTAGACCGATTAGCATCAGAATTCGGATTCGCTCCAACTGCTTTACGCGTGTCGCGAATCGCGAGGATCGCTCCCGAGGGTCCTCCCGGGTGTGCTGGCGCCTACCGTAGTCCAGCCACCTTGACCACCTACCAGTTGATCTCCGCGTCGATCGCGCGGGAAACCGCGGCCACTATCGGTGGCTCCGACGCTTCTAGTTCATTCTATTCCGTTCTACTCTACTCCAGCCTGCTCTCCGGCGTCTTGCCCTGAGCAGCCGACTCCCCCTCGTCTCTCCACTGAGCCCCACTAACCCGCTGATTGATCGTGATATTCCATTGCTGTACTAACACCCTCCGGGCCGCTGGCCACATACGATGGAGAGACACTATTCCATGCACTCATCGCAAACCCGAGCTTATTCGAGGTGGCGCTACGTAGGGCTTGGGCCCTTCAGAACGTCGTGTTGAGGAAATTCCTATTCTGCCGGCCTGAAGTCGAGATTGTTATACGCATGAGGATATGGCCCGATTCAC